GGTCTCAGGTAGGACAGAGGGTCTCAGGTAGGACAGAGGGTCTCAGGTAGGACAGATTGTCTCAGGTAGAACAGAGTGTTTCAGGTAGGACAGTGTGTTTCAGGTAGGACAGTGTGTCTCAGGTAGGACAGATTGTCTCAGGTAGGACAGATTGTCTCAGGTAGGACAGTGTGTCTCAGGTAGGACAGAAGGTCTCAGGTAAGAGATGAAGGTGATGAACAGGTGTGAAGGAAATATAAAATGTTATTTTGATTCTAGTCAGCTGTGTGAACTTAATGAAATAAATTACTGATATAAAGACATAATTTACAGCATGATTAACAATTTATTTTGACCAGTATAAATGTGATAGGCTTATTTAACTTTTGTTTGTAGGAAGTGGTAGAAATTAGTTTTCATAAGTGGGATTTTCCCGGTTAAATACTGTAAAGGTCAGTAAATAAACATCCACATATTGATCTTATAAATAAATGTAAAAACCTCCTCTAAGCTTGTTTGGGATAATTTGTCACATTAATTTAATTATCTGAGTTATAACTGAATTTAAAAACAGGACGATGCAACTAGTTAAAGAAGAATCTGTCTCCAGTCATTAAATCAGGTCTTTATTTATGTAGGTAAAAGTATCTTGAACAACCTGTTAAAATACATTAGAAATCAGGAAATAGCTTCTAATTTATTCAAAATTTTCTGTGGGAGGACCCCCAGACCCCCCTCCAGTGTGTCCTTTACTATTATAAGACTTCTTATGTGAGAGGATGAACTAACACACCTGTGCTCCATCTGTGTGTCTCTGTATGAAACTATGGTTGATTGTCAAACTGTATTCTTAGTGAGTTTAAAGGGCTGGTACAGTACATGGTTTAATGAAGGTGAACATAATCTCAGTTAATATGGTTTGAGTATTATTACATCACAACACAAACATTTGGTGTTCAGTGTTTGATGGGTGCAGACAGTTAAACTGAACACACACTGAAGACATGAACAACAGAAAAACCTGGTCGCACAACTGTGTGTGCGTCAGACCCCGTCCCCCACGGTGCGTCCCCACCAACTTTCAGCACAAAGTTACGCCCTTGCTAAATAATACCAAAAGGCTAAAAAAAAAGTTGTGGTATCTAGAAGCTTAAACGTAGCAATAGATAAAATTATGTAAATGTCACTTAAGGGCAGCACAAAGGCCTAAGTATCAGAACTGGCTAAAAGCTCAACATGCTAAAAGAATAGCTAAAAGCTTACAGTAGCAAAACTTTAGTTYAAAGATAAAAATAGCTAAATAAGGCATCAAAAATGTAGCTAAAAGCTAAAGGTAGCATGAGAAGACAAACAGACCATACGCTGAAGCACATTTCAAAAAACAATATTTTTAAATAACTGAAGAGATTTTCATGGAAAAATCAAAACATGACGCGTGTGAACGATGACTCAGCYTTTATTTCAGCAATCAGAATAATTCTMCCATTGTTTTCAAAGAAACTCTGAAAAACATCTTGATGTTGAAACACAAAGAAGGTTTGTGTTGATCAGCAGGCAGACCAGCGCTTCGAGGCTCTGATGTAAGAAGATTTGTTATTTTTCCACAAAGAAGCTGTTTTTTCTGCAGCTTTTATGAGTTTTAACCAAATCAGTAAAGTTTCATCTCAGTTTGTCTTCGTGGACTCAAGTGGACTCACTTTTCATAAATATGTACGAATGTTGTCCCTCATATCTCCGAGCCTTTGTTTATTGTCGACGCCAACAACCAAGCCTTGTTCCCACTCYGACAAGAGGTCCGTTCTGCTGGTCCTGATGGGACAAACAGAATGAGACTGGACGGAGGAGGACGAGTGGAGAGACAGAAGACGAAGCTCCTGGAGAAACAGGAAGTAAAGCTCCGTTTGAAACCCGGTACAGATTATTCTACACAGCAGCAGTTAGAAGTGGCAGCAAATTCACCCTGAAGGTCAGACTGTGCAGTGCTGAGACTCTACAGGCCTCAGTCAGCAGCTCAAAGATCTACCAGAGGTTCTCAAGCCATTTGGGTCTGAGGACCCCTTACAAGGGCGAAAA